CCATATTATGTCAGTAATCGCGTAACCTTGTCAGTAAAATTAGACATAATTTTCATTTAAATCAACAGGTTTAATTTGGCACGGTATTGTAGTCTTACCAATCGACACCGGTTATAAATTCAACGACAGAACCTTTGAATCAATTCTAAATTGCACGAGGTTTCTTAAAATTTCAAGTAAATAAAAATGTTAAAATTAAAATATAATAAATACTTTTCTGTTCTGTTTTCTTTGAATAACGTTTAAGTGTTAAAAAGTTAGTAAAATAACTTTTTAACAATAGTAGGTCCTATTCGAACCGTGAAAGGTTAGTTTCGTGTCTTTTATTGAATCAAAAAATGCTAGAGAAGTATGAATCGTTTAGTTGGACTTTGCGACATGAATGCAGTGCTTTTAGGATTTAAATAGAGAACTAGAATTGACTTTTGGTCACAGTCGGGCTGAAGATATCAGCTGCGCGACGTTTTAAGGGGGACTTAACGCTAAGAAAGCAAATAAACCCTAGAAAGAAAGAAAGAAAGTTGTCTGACATTTAGTGTATTTTACAGTGGAAGAGTAAGATACCTGAGTGGCCTGTAACTAAAATCACTCAGATGTAGAGTGCTCTATTATCGGTATTGGACAGGTTAATGTTTCTACAGCTCTTATTTTTTAACAGGAAGTAGTGTTATAAATCTCTTATCAAGTAGCGTACTGGAAAAATATCTGTCTTATGCTCTTTTTATACGGTCGTCGCTGCCGCCGATTTGTAAACCCAAGACCGAAGGGCGATATCCTCCCAGTACCGCCCTCGCTCTTGGTTGATAAAGATATCGATGTAAAATAAAATATTATCTTCAAAGGAGATTATATTACAGTTGGATGGTGGCTGGACTTCTCTCTTGCAATGGAGCCAGCTGCCGCGGACGAGGTAAGCTTTTTATGAGCGAATCTTCTGAATTCCCAGTCTGTCGTGTCTCGCTTCCTTCGTCGAAACCTTCATCAAATTCTCTGAGTTCACTCCGTGCTTTCTTCTTCTTTGTCTTTTTTCTATGTTTACGCTCGCGCGGCTCATCTGTGAAGCTTTTTCCTGTATCTTTATTCCTGTTCAAACTTCGATGCACTGGCATCGGAGTTGGGACTCTTTCTTTTTCACCTTCCTCCCACTGACCACTCAGCACAGCAGGCTCCAAAGTTGCACGTCCTTCCAAACTCTGATGCTTACTCTGTTTTGCTTTCTTTTTCCTTTTTCGTGCGAAGTCTCGTTCTTCGTCATTCTCAAACTGTTCTTGATGTTCGTTATTAACATAGGACCGTTCTGTTCTGTGCTTTCTCCTCCTCTTCTTTCTGGTATCGTCGCGCATAACGGTCATTGACACATTCTCGTCTGTCGCATTTTGTGTTGGAACACGCCCTTCATTACTGTTCACTACAGGCGGCTTGGAAGTACTTTCCCGTAGTTTCCTTAAGGTTTGTTTTCTTCGCTCGATATCAATCGCTTTTTGCCTCCTTTTGCTGTCGAAAGACATAATTATAAGCTATTAAAGTTACTACCAACAATGTAATTCATAAACAGCAGAACCTCCCCTAACCGGACATTCTCGGGACCAGAAAAATGTGTCCATTATTAAGCGTTCGCCTACACGATTAGCGGAGGTTCGACTGTGCTTGCCAGAAGAAAGAACCTTCGCCGCTTTGTGGAGTGAGCGATCGTCTTTCCAGTGACAAGACCAATAAACTGGGTAATATTAACAAATCGAATGTGGTTTAGCGCGGTCTGTACTCTTATCGACAACGATACGCGTCATCGCAGTGATCAAAATGCTGTGGACACCGAGTGAGTCCACAACAAATTTTGTTATACCTCCCAACTCAAATACGTTTTCCGATTGGAGGAGAACGTGTCACGTGCCATGGGTCAAAACTCACTAACTCCCTAGGGCGAACAAAACTCACTGACTCCCTAGGGAAACAACAACTTGAACTTTCGACTCGCACGTGATCAGGTCGTGCACCTTGAAACGGCGGCAAATTTGTGTACCAGCCATTGAAGTCGGGCAACGTTTCTCAGTAGAGAAGGCATTCATTATTCAAGAAAAGTGATTTATAATTCGGCAAAAACATATCAGATTAACACAGGGAAAAATTTGAGCATTCTGTGTCTTCAAACTTTTAATTGGGCGCCAAAAATGGGTCTCCCGAGTCCGGCAACTCGCTATCCGTTTGCTTTGACCACTCGCCAGGTAGGAAATAGTTGTGTCATTTACAACACTTACAAAATATGCTCTACAGTGTGGGGCCCTGTTCTCGGCCACTTTTTGTTCAGCGTTTATTTTTCGCGCCACAAATGAATCTGAATAAAAAGCAATTGTTTCCAAAGGTAGCTTGATTCCTTGTCTTCCGTTCTGCCAAGTTTTGTTTCGCCCTGCCGAGTTTTTCTGTGAGCACGTCGAGGTGACGCGAAGGTAGGTGAATTTGGTTTCCCCGAAAACGTGTTTGTTTACGGCTACTCGAATTACATGG